TTTCCTCCCAGTGTCCTCCCAGTGCCATCCCAGTTTCCTCCCAGTGCCCTCCCTCTGTCCTCATCTCAGTGCTCCCAGTGCCCTCCCAGTGCTCCGTGTCATCCCAGTTTCCTCTCAGTGTCCTCCCAGTGTCCTCCAAGTTCTCTCCCAGTGTCCTCTCAGCGCTCCCAGTGCCCTCCCAGTGCTCCCAGTGTCATCCCAGTTTCCTCTCAGTGTCCTCCTAATGCTCCCAGTGCTCTCCCAGCACCCTCTCAGTGTCCTCCCAGTCCTCCCAGTGCTCCCAGTGCCCTCCCAGTGTCCTCTTAGTGTCCTCCCAGTGCCCCCCCAGCTCTCCCAGTTCTCCCAGTTCCTGGCCTCAGGGTCTCAGGGGGCTGTACCTAGGGCAGAGACTTCGTGAAACCTGACGAGCCCCCAGGGACCAGGGAGATGCCACAAGTTCCAGGTCTTCCCCTCAGTGTCACCCACAAAACCTAAACCCACGCCCTATTCCCACAGCCCCCCAAAATTCCAGGGGTCCCTCCAGATCCCTGAGCAAGAGCCTGAGGTTCGGGTGAACGGCCCCGCCTTCCCTAACGAGCAAAGCCTCATTAAAGCTGATTACAGATGGACTCTCCAGCACAGGGTGGGGAGGAAAAGCCAGGCCTTCCTCACCCAACCCCTCCAGCCATACTGGGCTGCCAATGGTCACCCCCACTCCTAAAATCAGAGCCCAAACCTGCCAAACCCCTCTGGGAGGCACGCACACCACAGGAGCTGGATGAGCAGGATTTATGGACAGGATTTATGGACAGGATTTATTTCCAAATCCATGAGAGCAGAGCGGGGCAATGCCAGGGGCAGGATGGCATCTTCCCCTTCCCTGGCACTGCCACGGGATCCTTTCCCCCTCTGGGACAACCACAGGGCATCTCCCTTCTGGTACTGCCATGGGATTTTTACCACTGTGGATATTTAGGATGTAAAAATCCTGCTTTTCCCTCTGTAGGATTTTTATCCCTCCAGCACCACAGTGGGACTTTTTCTCCTGGTGCTGCCATGGGATTTTTCCCACCCCGATACCATTATGGGACATTTCCCCTGGTATTACAATGGGATTTTTCCCACCCTGATACCATTATGGGACATTTCTGCCATGGGATTTCTCCCACCCCAATCCCATTCTGGGACATTTCCCCTGGCAGTTCCACCACAGGACCTTTCCCACCGTGGCTCCTTCCCCAGCGCTGCTCAGATGATGCCAGCTGGAGCGAAGACAGGGGTGACACAAAGTGTCTCTGCCATCTCCCAGCCACAGGACAGGGGCATGCAGAGGCTCTCACGGTCATCTTCTGCCTGGGGTGGCTTTCCCTGGAAGAGCTGGACAGCTTTCCTGCAAGTGGAGAGCCAGGGGAAGGAGCAGCCCCTTGAGAATGGGATGGGGACACTTCAGGGCTCTCCTGTCCCCCACAATGACAGCCAGAGCTGGCTCTCTTTTCTCCAGTGAAAAACTGCCTGAAATTTGACAATATTTAAAAAAATCGGATTTTTTGCCTCTGGTGCCATGATTTCACCCTGAATTTCCAGGTTCTGGGATTCAGATTTCCCCCTCTCCGTTGGGCCAGGAGCCCAGGTGGAAGGGTGTTGGAACTCAAAATGTCCCTCAGACATTTTTGGAGGTTCCAGGCCTTGGTCAGAAGCATTTGAGACCCTGGCAGGCAGCTGGAAACAGCTGTGATTTTGGGTTTGAGTCATAAAATGAGTTACCAACTTTGGAGGTGGAACAAGCAGTCACAAAGGGTTAGATGGGATAGTAAAAGTAGTTACAAAGTAGAGGGGAAATTTTTTTGGTATTGTACATGGGGGTTTTAGCACCTGTCCAGGGGGGTTTTTACTTTGTACATGGGGGTCAGAAGTTCTAAGATGGAGGAAAGTGGGCTGATCCTGTTCTTCCTCCTTCTTCGTCCTTACCTCCATGTTCTTGGTGATGTTGGCACTCACAGATTGGTTTAGAGTAGAAATCCACTTTGTAATATAGGTAGTAGGTATTGGGGGAAAACTATAAACATATAATACATAATGTACCATATAAAAGATAGAAAGGCACCATTTAATATAGGTAATAGGCATTGGGAAAAACTGCAAACATGTAACATGTAATGCACCATATAAAAGAGAGCAGCAGCCCTGGGCGGGGAGACAAGAAGAAGAAGAAGAAGAAGAAGCAGTCGGGGTCAGAGAGGATGTCAGGGTGTGTGTGTGCCTCTGCCTGAGCTGTGAGCAAACCACAGCAGCCCCAGGAGAAAATCTTTTAGATAACTTGCAATAAACAACCATGAGACCAAACAAGAGAGACTGCTGAACCTTTCTTTGGAAGGACAGGTTGGAGGAGGGATTTTTCCACCACACGAGACCCCAGACCAAGCCCGGGGTTCTCACAGAAGGGAAGCCAGAATCTCCCATCCCTGCCCTCCCACCCTGCCCATCTCTTACCAGGCCACGCGGGACATGGCGTAGGTGACCCGTGCCTGGGGAGCCGCGGTGAGCAGGGATGAGCTCGGCATGCTGTAGGCTCCCATGTTCCCAAAAAGCAGCCAGTCCCCCACGTGCAGCTGGGGCAGCTCCAGCCCGTCGGCGATGCGATCCTCGCCGGGCCCCGGCGGGCCCCGCAGGCTGCTGCTGTGCCAGGGCTGCTCTGGGCACGGCCTCTGCGGGCAAAACGCGGCGTGAGGATGTGCCCGTGTCACGGTGAGCCCCGAACTCAGCCCCGCAGAGGGGTGCAGCTTCCCCTCTGTGGCAGGGGGTGGGCTGACCCGATGTTAGGGACAGCCCCAAGCCAGGTGAGCCCCTCACCTTGTGCAGCCGTGGCCTGGGGCAGGGGCTGTCGAACAGGAGGCAGCTGAAGGCACCGTAGATGCCATCACTGAGGTGATAGACCAGGCTCTTCTTGCTGCCACACTCTTCCTCTGGAAGGGAGAGGGGAGAGGGCTCAGGGACACAGGGAACACATCTGGGAATGGGGACAGGGATCAGAGGGGCTCAGGGACACAGGGGACACATCTGGGAACAGGGAGAAGGCTCAGGGACACAGAGGACACATTGGGGAGTGGGGAGAGGGCTCAGGGGGCCTCAAGGACACAGGGAACACATCTGGGAGTGGGGAGAGGGCTCAGGGGGGCTCAGGGACACATCTGGGAGTGGGGAGAGGGCTCAGGGACACAGGGGACACATTGGGGAGTGGGGAGAGGGCTCTGGGGGCCTCAAGGACACAGGGAACACATCTGGGAACAGGGAGAGGGCTCAGGGGGGTTCAGGGACATATCTGGGAGTGGGGAGAGGGCTCAGAGGGGCTCAGGGACACAGGGGACACATTGGGGAGTAGGGAGAGGGCTCAGGGAGCCTCAAGGACACAGGGAACACATCTGGGAACAGGGAGAGGGCTCAGGGGGGCTCAGGGACACATCTGGGAGTGGGGAGAGGGCTCAGGGAGGTTCAGGGACACATCTGGGAGTGGGGAGAGGGCTC